TGGTAGGCAAGTGGTTAAGGGCTTTTTTTTGCCCACTTTTATTTAAAAGAAAAAGTTCAACAAAAATGCTTCCCATGCAGGGGTATCCATTATCAAGCAATACCAACAAAGATTCAGCCTCCTGGCTTGTACGCAGGTCAATGTCTGTCTCCTGCAGACTCTTCCCAAATTATGGCCCTCACACACAGCTGGCCACTAGCACACAGCTAGTCTGGCTTCCACCTCTCCTTGGTGAAGCCCACCTGACTCCAAGGCAGATACCTCCTGTCTGCCAGGGTGGAGCCCTGCTGACTCCGTCTGCTGGGGTGGAGCCCAGAACCATGCTTAGGCCTCTATAAAAAGGCCTGCACACACCTGTGCAATCAGTGTGCTGGGGGTTCTCAAAACACGGACCCCGGATTGGAGATTTCATCCCTCCCAGATCTCTTTGAAATCCCCAGGCTCCAGATCCCAAAACAGACTTAATGAATAAATGAGGAAACTGAAAAGCCAGTTTCCTTTGCAATACATCAACTCTCTGGAGCCCTCAACCTGCCTGGTTGAGAATCCAGGGTTTTCAGCTTGATTTTGTCCGTGGCAGGACACTGCACTGCCACAATAAATATATATATATATATATATATATATATATATATATATATATATATACACACACACAGTATCTCACAGAAATGAGTACACCCCTCATGTTTTTGTCAATACTATATATTATATCTTTTCATGTGACAACACTAAAGAAATTACACTTTGCTACAATGTAAAGTGAGTACACCCCTAAGTGAAAATGTCCAAATTGGGCCCAATTAGCCATTTTCCATCCCCAGTATCATGTGACTCGTTAGTGTTACAAGATCTCAGGTGTGAATGGGGAGCAGGTGTGTTAACTGCTTGCCGCCCTGCCACTGTGTATATACGTGTGCAGGGAGGCAGTGGAGCGCAAAACCACATTTTAAAACGGGTTCCGCGCTCCCGACACTTTCGCCAGCAGGGGGCGCGCGCGCTCCCGCCGACCCGCGGGTGACACGATTTGATCCAGGAGGGATCAATCATTAGATTTCAGCCAGTGATTTCTGGCTGAAATTACATGATCGGTCCCTGTCCTATCCTGTCCTGTGTTGACATATACACAGGGCAGAATATGATGTCATTCTTCTCTGCCTGGACACATTCCGTTCCAGACAGAGAAGAAGACATCCAAAAAGTGAGTACACAAGCACTACACTACAGTTAGAACACACCTAGGACCCATTTAACTCCCTGATCGCCCCCCCCCCCCCCCCCCAGTTAACCCCTTCACTGCCCTGTCACCAGTGTCACTGATCAGTGAAGCGATTTTTACTGATCAGTGTCGCTGGTGACTTCCGATAGAGTTAGCGCCCCTCCCAGATAGCGCCAGATTGCCCGCCAGTACACACAGTAATCCTGTTTAACCCCTTGATCGCCCCCCCCCCCCAGTTAACCCCTTCACTGCCCTGTCACCAGTGTCACTGATCAGTGAACCCATTTTTACTGATCACTGTATCAGTGTCACTGGCGACTTCCGATAGAGTTAGCTCCCCTCCCAGATAGCACCAGTTTGCCCGCCAGTACACCAGTAATCCCGTTTAACCCCTTGATCGCCCCCCCAGTTAACCCCTTCACTGCCCTGTCACCAGTGTCACTGATCAGTGAACCGATTTTTACTGATCACTGTATCTGTGTCGCTGGCGACTTCCGATAGTGTTAGCGCCCCTCCCTGATAGCGCCAGATTGCCCGCCAGTACACCAGTAATCCCGCTTAACCCCTTGATCGCCCCCCCCCCAGTTAACCCCTTCACTGCCCTGTCACCATTTTCACTGATCAGTGAACCAATTTTTACCGATCACTGTATCAGTGTCGCTGGCGACTTCCGATAGTGTTAGCGCCCCTCCCAGATAGCGCCAGATTGCCCGCTAATACACCAATAATCCTGTCTAACCCCTTGATCGCCCCCCCCCCGAGTTGACCCCTTCACTGCCCTGTCACCAGTGTCATTAATCAGTGAACAGATTTTTACTGATCACTGTATCAGTGTCGCTGGCGACTTCCGATAGTGTTAGCGCCCCTCCCAGATAGCGCCAATTTGCCCGCTAGTGCACCAGAAATCCCATTTAACCCCTTGATCGCCCCCCTCCCCCCCCCCCCCCCCGTTAACCCCTTCACTGCCCTGTCACCAGTGTCATTGATTACAGTGAACAGATTTTTACTGATCACTGTATTAGTGTCACTGGTGACTTCCGATAGTGTTAGCGCCCCTCCTAGATAGCGCCAGTTTGCCCGCTAATGCACGGGATTTTTTTTACCAAAAACATGTAGCAGAATATATTTTGGCTTAAATTTATGACTAACTTTGAGTTTACGATATATTTTTTATAGCTGAAAGTAGAAAATATTGTTTTTTTTTCAAAATTTTCGTGGTTTTTTTGTTTATAGCGCAAAAAATAAAAAGCGCACAGGTGATCAAATACCACCAAAAGAAAACTCTATTTGTGTGAAAAAAAGGACGTAAATTTCGTTTGGGTACAGCATTGCATGACCGCGCAATTATCATTTGAATTAGTGCAGTGCTGTATAGCAAAAAAAGGCCTGGTCATTAAGGGGGGGTAAATCCTCTGGGGCTCAAGTGGTTAAATTTGGTGTTATCGCTCTCACTCTCTTATATTGGTCACTGGAAGTTCAACATGGCACCTCATGGCAAAGAACTCTCTGAGGATCTGAAAAAAAGAATTGCTGCTCTACATAAAGATAGCCTAGGCTATTAGAAGATTGCCAAGACCCTGAAACTGAGCTGCAGCACGGTTGCCAAGACCATGCAGCAGTTTAACAGGACAGGTTCCAATCAGAACAGACCTCGCCATGGTCAACCAAAGAAGTTGAGTGCACGTGCTCAGCATCATATCCAGAGGTTGTCTTTGGGAAATGGACATATGAGTGCTGCCAGCATTGCTGCAGAGGCTGAAGGGGTGTTGGGGTCAGCCTGTCAGTGCTCAGACCATACGCTGCACCATGATGCACGTACATCATATTGGTCTGCATGGGTGTCATCCCAGAAGGAAGCCTCTTCTAAAGATGATGCACAAGAAAGCCCGCAAACAGTTTGCTGAAGACAAGCAGACTAAGGACATGGATTACTGGAACCATGTCCTGTGGTCTGATGAGACCAATGTAAACTTATTTGGTTCAGATGGTGTCAAGCATGTGTGGCGGCAACCAGGTGAGGCATACAAAGACAAGTGTGTCTTGCCTACAGTCAAGCATGGTGGTGGGAATGTCATGGTATGGGGCTGCATGAGTGTTGCTGGCACTGGGGAGCTACAGTTCACTGAGGGAACCATGAATGCCAACATGTACTGTGACATACTGAAGCAAAACATGATCCCCTCCCTTCAGAGACTGGGCCGCAGGGCAGTATTCCAACATAACGACCCCAAACACACCTCCAAGACGACCACTGCCTTGCTAAAGAAGCTGAGGGTAAAGGTGATGGACTAGCCAAGCATGTCTCCAGATCTAAGCCTTTTTGATAATCTGTGGGGCATCCTCAAACGGAAGGTGGAGCAGTGCAAGGTCTCTAACATCCACCAGCTCTGTGATATCATCATGGAGGAGTGGAAGAGGACTCCAGTGGCAACCTGTGAAGCTCTGGTGAACTCCATGCCCAAGAGGGTTAAGGCAGTGCTGGAAAAATAATGGTGGCCACCCAAAATATTGACACTTTGGGCCTAATCTGGACATTTTCATTTAGGGGTGTACTCACTTTTGTTGCCAGCGGTTTAGACATTAATGGCTGTGTGTTGAGTTATTTTGAGGGGACAGCAAATTTACACTATACAAGCTGTACACTCACTACTTTACATTGTAGCAAAGTAAGTGTCATTACTTCAGTGTTGTCACAGGAAAAGATAAAATATTTACAAAAATATGAGGGGCATATATATATATATATATATTTGTTTGCTTTTTAACCACTCTACACAAATATTGATCAAAAATTTGGTTTACTACACTAATGTTTGGGCAGATCACAGCCCATCTTTCTCCAAATATATATAATGTTTTTTTTTTGCCATTTTGTCCTCTTGTACGAGTTCCTTTTAATATGTGAATAGTTTCTGCAGCCTCCTTGTCATGCAGTTAGGAAGTATATGTACCTCTTCCCTCCTCAGCCCCCAAATGCTTAGCTTTCATCTGCTAGGGGAACGCTTGGTTATTATCAACACCACGACTCGGCTTTAGTTCAAAGGGAGGACGCTTAATCCAAACGTCTCTTTCCCGTCTGAAGTCTCTTTTTCTGAAGCATAGTCCTCAGGAGACTCAAATAAAATTAAATGAGGTTTATTCACTTCCCTCCAAGCTCATAATCTGGGAACAGAACAGGGAATAATAATTAAGTTGTTGGAAGGCATCAGATGATAAGACCATATATATTAGGGTACCTGTAGACGTGAGATGACTGTTGCCCAATGCAGTTGATTTGTGACAGTCCAGGCAATAATTTCTGTCTCTGGGTACCAGTAGACCTTGACAGATATGCTCACCTGACTAGTCTCAGAGGAATTGATGATCAGCTACATTTGATATTCAGTTATTATTTTTGTTTAAGGCCTATTGCTGCTTTTCTTCTAAAATAAGGGGTATTTCTTCCAAAGTCATAAGCATGCATGCTCAGGCAGTTTGAGTCATTGGGGCTTATTTTGAAAAATCGTTTGTTTGTTATTACATTAATTGGTATGGCACCAACATGTTCTGCAATGTTTTACAGTCTGCAAAGGATCATTCACATTAGTCCTTGACCCAAGAAAATAATATGAGACAGAGATTGACTCAACCCACCAGGCTTCACCTTTAATTAAATATCAGTTTTGTATTGATTATGATTTTGGGTAGACTGTGGTTAAAAAGAGCTATCTATATGCATATAAATATTTGGTCTTTTGCGTACATACTGTGTATATATACAATAAATATCTCTTTCTTTTAGACATTCGAAGATTTTACTAATGACAAGCAAGCAATAGAACACCAGCAGCGGATCGTTGATATTCTGTTAAAGGTAAAAGTTGGAAATTGTAACCCCAAAAGTTTTTGTTTTAATCATGATTGCAAATTTTTTGGTTTTTTTTTACAAATATAAACTAAAATATTCTGTGTGGCTGCATAGTGGTCACTGTATCTATCACCAGTTATATAGTATGTATCATACAGTTGGCCATACAATCATGTGTTTTTGTTTCTATTCGGTTTACTATTTTACTTTTTAATGGAACGTGTGTTGATAGAAATATGGGAGCCGCCATTGCACCATTGTTTTTAAAGGTGCAGTCTTCAAGGTGAACTCCAGGAAAACCACTAAATACACAGATAAAATACATATAAGGGAGCTGTTTTACCTGCCAAAAAATTTGTATTTCTGGCCATCAATTTCTACAATTTACAGAGCTCTGCCACACAACACAGCTCTGTCTAGCAGGGCAGGAGACCTGATTTTCTCTTGAGCAGCTAGGCAATATACACTATATTGCCAAAAGTATTGGGATGTCTGCCTTTACATGCACATGAATTTTAATGGCATCCCAGTCTTAGTCCATAGGGTTCAATATTGAGTTGGCCCACCCTTTGCAGTTATAACAGATTCAACTGTTCTGGGAAGGCTGTCCACAAGGATTAGGAGTGTGTCAATGGGAATGTTTGATCATTCTTCCAGAGGCGCATTTGTGAGGTCAGGCACTGTTGTCAGACGAGAAGGCCTGGCTCTCAATCTCCACTCTAAGTCATCCCAAAGGTGTTCTGTAAGGTTGAGGTCAGGAATCTGTGCAAGCCAGTCAAGTTTCTCCACCCCAAACCCACTCATCCATGTCTTTATGGACCTTGCTTTGTGCACTGGTGCACAGTCATGTTGAAGCAGGAAGGGGCCATCCCCAAACTGTTCCCACAAAGTTGGTAGCATGAAATTGTCCAAAATGCCTTGGTATGCTGATGCTTTAAGAGTTCCCTTCACTAGAACTAAGGAGCAAGCCCAACCTCACAAAAACAACCCCACACCATAATCCCCCCACCACCAAACTTTACACTTGGCATAATGCAGTCAGACAAGTACCGTTCTCCTGGCAACTGCCAAACCCAGACACATCCATCAGATTGCCAGACAGAGAAACATGATTCGCCACTGCAGAGAACACGTCTCCACTGCTCTAGAGTCCAGTGGTGGTGTGCGCTACACCACTGCATCCGATAATTTGCATTGCACTTGGTGATGTTAGCCTTGAATGCAGCTGCTCAGCCATGGAAACCCATTCCATGAAGCTCTCCTCGCACTGTTGTTGTGCTAATTTGAGGGCCACACAACGTTTGGAGGTCTTTAGCTATTGACTCTGCAGACAGTAGGCATCTTCTGCACACTGTGCTCTTCAGCCTGCATTGACCCCCCCTGTCATTTTCCGTGGCCTACCACTTAGTGGCTGAGTTGCTTTTGTTCCCAGTTGCTTCTATTTTGTTATAATACCACTAACAGCTGACCGTGGAATATTTAGTAGCAAGGAAATTTCACGGATGGACTTATTGCACAGGTGGCAACCTATCACGGTACAGCACTTGAATTCACTGAGCTCCTGAGACCAACCCATTATTTCACAAATGTTTGTAGAAGCAGTCTGCATGCCTAGGTGCTTGATTGTATACACCTGTGGCCATGGAGTTGATTGGAACACCTGAATCCAGTGATTTGGAGTGTCCCAATAGTTTTGGCAATATAGTGTATATACAGGTTTTATCCCTTCCTCCACCCCTTGTGACTGGAGCATAAAAGTAAAAGCAGAACACTGATGAGCTTATGTCTCTGTGACACTCTTGTCTCCTCCAATCAGCATGCTCCTTGTTAGTACATGAGCAATGCAGAACTACTGATCAGCTCCTTGTGATTCGTATCCTTCTCTCTGCCTGAGCTGTGAAAGGACTGGTCAAATTCAGGAACTTACACAAAAATACAAACAAATAATAATATATTAAAGCTTACTAGTCCTTGGATGCAGTGGCTGCATTTGTTTGCTATTTTCAATTACTTTTTTATCACCTGGTTATTCTTTCACAATAGTTTTATTGAGTTTTCTTCAGAAAAAGGAACAGTAACAGAAAATACAAAATGTGTGGTACAATGTAGCATACAGTAATAAAGGGATATATTCTATTCCAGGTAACACTAAGTAATAGTTATTTGCAGTCCAAATGACTATGATTAGACGATTAGACCAAGAGAGTGTGCTGACATAGAGAAACTCAGCCCCAGATGAAAAAGGCATAACAATATGACACATTATTAGTGAACGCTAATGTTTCTTGACGTATTCTGTGTCTTAAACTGCGAGGCTTAAATGAAAAGGTAATGTTGCAATTTCTTGAAATATATTGGGTGGCAAAAAAATAGAAAAAAAGTGAACAAAGAAAGTAAGAAGGAAAAGGAAGAAAAGATACATCTAGAGAGTGAAATTTTTGCACATTCTTCTTTGCAATATAGCTCAAGCTCTGTCAGATTGGATGGAGAGTGTCTGTGAACAGTAATTTTCAAGTCTTGCCACAGATTCTCAAGTAAATTTAGGTCTGGACTTTGACTGGGCCATTCTAACACATGAATATGCTTTGATCTAAACCATTCCATTGTAGCTCTGGCTGTGTGTTTAGGGCCCTTGTCCTGCTGGAAGGTGAACCTCCACTCCAGTTTCAAGTCTTTTGCAGACTCTAACAGGTTTTCTTCTAAGATCACCCTGTATTTGGCTCCATCCATCTTCCCATCAACTCTGACCAGCTTCCCTGTCCCTACTGAAGAAAAGCATCCCCATAACATGATGCTGCCATCACCATGTAGGGTGATGTGCATTGTTAGTTTTCCACCACACCACACACACCGTCTCATTTGAGCATGGTACCTTCTTCCACATATTTGCTTTGTCCCCCACATGGCTTTTCACAAACTGCAAACAGGACTTCTTATGGCTTTCTTTCAACAATGGATTTCTTCTTGCCACTCTTCCATAAAGGCCAGATTTCTAGAATGCACGACTAATATTATTATTATTATACAGGATTTATATAACGCCAACAGTTTGCTCAGCGCTTTACAATATAATGGGAGACAATACAGTAACAATACAGTTCAATACAAGAGGGATAGGAGGGCCTGCTCCTTGGAGCTTACAATCTAATAGTTGTCCTGTGGACAGATTCTCCCATCTGAGCTGTGGATCTCTGCAGCTCCTCCAGAGTTACCATGGGAATCTTGGCTGCTTCTCTGATTAGTGCTCTCCTTCCCGACCTGTCAGTTTAGGTGGATGGCCATGTCTTGGTCGGTTTGCAGTTGAGCCATACTCTTTCCATTTTGGGATGATGGATTGAACAGTGCACCATGAGATGTTCAAAACTTGTTCACTAATGTTCTCTAACAAACCTGAGGGCTTCACAGAATAGCTGTATTTATACTAAGATTAAATAAGTAAAGAGGGCTGAATACAAATGCATGCCACAGTTTTCAGATATTTATTATATAAAAAAATGTTTAAAACATTTATGATTTTCCTTCTACATCAAAATTATGTACCACTTTGTGCTGGTGTATCACATAAAATCCCAATAAAATACATTTAGGTTTTTGGTTGTAGCATGGCAAAATGTGAAAGATTTCTAGGGGTATGTATACTTTTTCAAGGCACTGTACATAGTTATTCTAGCTGAAAAAAGACACAAGTCCATCCAGCTCAATAGAAGAGAGGGGGAGGGGGGAATTATATACAATCACATGCCCACAGTTGATCCCGAGGATGGCAAAAAAAACCCAAAACAATAAAGCATGATCCATTTTGCTCCAGCAGTGGAAAGAATTATTTTCTGATCCCCCAAGAGGCAATCATATATTCCCTGGATCAACTTTACCTATAAATATTAGTATTCCGTTATGTTTTGTGCATTTAGGAAAGAATCCAGGCCTTTTTTAAATAATCTACTGAGCTGGCCACAACCAGCTCTTGAGGGAATCTTTTCCACATTTTCACAGCTCTTACTGTGAAGAAGCTTTTCCATATTTGGAGGTTAAATCTCTTTTCCTCCAGACTTAAAGAGTGCCCCCTTGTCCTCTGTGATAACCTTAAAGTCAATAACTCTACACCAAATGTGCTATATGGGCCACCTATGCATTTATACACATTGATCATATTCCCCCCTTAATCTCCTCTTCTCAAGAGAGAATGCATTCACTTCAGTTAATCTTTCCTCATAGCTGAGATCCTCCATGCCTTTGATCATTTTGGTTGCCCTCATCTGCACTTCGTTTAGTTCCCCAATATCCATTTTGGGAACTGGTGCCCAAAATTGAACAGCGTATTCTAAATTAGGTCCTACTAATGATTTGTACAGGGGCAAAATGATGTCTATACCTCTCTTAATACAAGAGATGATTTTGCTCCCTTTGGAAACCTCAGCTTGGCATTGCATGCTATTATTAAGCTATTATGATCTACCAGAACACCCAGATCCTTCTCCACCATTGATTTCCCCCAGCTGTTCTCTTCCTAGCATGTATGTTGCATGTGTGTTTTTATCCCCCAAGTGCATAACTTTACATTTATGAACATTATCACATTTTGCACATATATTTTGCACTTTGTTTTTGTTTTTGTATCTTTTTAGTAGTACAAATTGTACCATTTCCAGTGGTTGTTTGTAACATGGGATCCTTCTGTCTTTTATATTCTAATTTGCCCTCCCCCCACAATCATTGTTTAAATACTCCTCCAGCATTCCAATAAACCTCTTGCCTAGAACAGCACCCCCCCCTAGATTTAGATGCAAACCATCTTTAGCATATAGGTTGTACCCCATTGAAAAGTAAGCCCAGTGCTCCTAAAAACCCAAATCCTTCCCTCTTACACCAGGTCTTTAGCCATAGATTCAGTTCTCTAAACGTCTCCGTCTTTCCTCTGCTGTGCATGGCACAGGCAATATTTCAGAAAATATCACCTTGGAGGTTCAACTTGTTTCTTGGTTACAGTCTGGTGAGTTGCAAGAAAAAAATATAGGCTATTAATTTAATTTTTTTGGGGGGAAGATGGTACATATCATAATCTATATAAAAGTGCAGTGCTAACCAAAAGTGAATTAATAAGCTTCAAACAAAATACATTTGTGCTCAAAAATAAAATCAAACAATACAGTTCTTTTTGTGAGTAATAATCAAATATGTAAATATGTTCATCCAAAGTATGAAGAACATAAAAGCAAAAAGTGTGGATACCACTGAACTGTAGAGTGACCAAAGGAAAATCTTCTGTGTTAGAGTATTTACCCAAAATATACCAATAGTTAGTAACATAGGCTTCTCATCAGGAGATATTGACCCTCTTGAATTGAGCAGTCAAATTGCTCTTTTGAGCAATAATCCAGGGACTAGATGCTCAGCAGGATGTTTATGGCACTCTCATATTAGGCAATCAAATAGCATTTTTCTTCAATGATCCACAGATGCCCATCTCAAATAGATACTCAGCTCATAGAAGATATAGAAATGAACAGCCTCATAGTAGTGTAGTATGAAGGGATAAAGTTTATTGAAATAAAAGTATTTCACTCACATGATATATAAAAGCAGATATTATATCTTAAATGTCAGAAGCAGGATCCGAAAACCTCAGAGTACTGCAGGATTTTTAAAAAGTATTTATTTTATTTAAATGTAAATATATTTGACAATGTACCTTTTTTTTTAGTTTATTGAACCTTAACGCTTTCACAAGGGATGGGCACCATATCTTGTTATAGCATGGGCCGTAACAGGTCCTCTTTATGGAGAGATCTGGGAACTATTAGACCCCACATCTCTCTTCTGCCCTACAAATTATCCGATCAAACCGAAATCAACTGCTTTACAAGCCAGTAATGGCTTATAAGCAAACAAACTGAATCCAGAAGTGATGAAATCCTGGTCGATTCCAGTTTCTGACGTCGGTGAAGAGAGCAAGGAACCTCGGTTTCTTCCACTTACAGTGCACCCAATGCATCTGTTTGCATTGGTCCCAGGCTCCCCAGTGGGATAGGAGAGCCTGGTAAAGGCAGCAGGAGGTGGGGTTCCCCCTTCTGCAGCCTGTGAAAGTGATCACTTTTACAAGAAAGAAAATCACCAACTGAAAAGAATGATATCTAGATCATTGCTGCAGCTGCAGCCTTGACCCAGATATCACCACTACTTCCTGAGGACTTACTGTAGACATATACGTACATTGGGGAGGAAGTGGTTAAAAAACAGTCCAGTAAACTCACATATTTCAACCCTCACATGTTTACGTTAATACTTATATAGATGAAAACTGAATACATTAGAGCATAAACTGAATACATTAGAGCATATGTATGCAAAGCATTACACAATTTTTAAACTATGACAGGTAACATGTAGATCACAAGGTATTCAGCCTTGTTGAGTACTGATGAAAGTTTTTAATTTTACACTTCAGTAAGTGTTCATTCAGTTGTGGTGACATTTTAAGCACCATTAATTAACACATATCTTTACGGTACAAGCCTTTGCTGTGTTCTTAATGGGAAGTCATCATGATTTTTTATTAAATATTTTAGAATCTAAAATAACTTTGAGAATTTTTACAGAATCATTGCACAGAATAGATTTGCAGGTAAGAAAGGCAAACTATTGTGGCCATTCAGGTCTGTAAGATTGATGTCATTCTCATACGCGGGCTTCAGCTTGTATAAGAGCAGTGTGTTAGTATGCTACTACAAAGTATTTGCAAAGTTTTGCGCCAGCTTTGTTGATGAGTTTAAGCAGCCTTCATTTCCAATTTGGTATGTTAAACGCTAAGTTCACCTTTCAGAACATGGTGTATGTTACACCCATATTTAGGGTGTAACTTGAAACATGGTTACATTCCAATGTCCTCCGCTAACCTGAATCGCAAGGTTCTTCTCCCCGCAGGATTCTGTATTATTTTGAATTTAGTGCAGGTAGATCACAGGGATCTGTGAATAGAAGACTACAAGTCCCATTTGACACCATGGCAGAGGGACCCATAGATATCAGTGAAGTGCAAGTGTGATGACATCCATGCTCTTTGTTCCAATGTTAACTTTTTCTTATAAACAGCCTCCCCGCCCCCTGCTTGTGTGCGCTCCCTGGGACACAGTGAAACACTGATCATTGTACGGGACCTCTGTGCGAGGTCCCGATTATGTGATCACTGATTGGCAAATCAGTGATCACATGAAGAGTAGTAAGCAAGATGTCACTTCTAACTTGGGTTTTTTTTTTTTTTACTAAAAAGATAACTGGCTAAATTTTGGCCAAGATTTATGAAGAAAGATTATTTATTTGCAAGATTTTATAAGAAAAACACTTTTTTCAAAATTTTTGGACTTTTTCATTTATATAGCAAAAAAAAATAAAAATCCCAGTGGTGAATAACTACCACCAAAATAAAGTTTTATCTGTCTCAAAAAAATGCTGTAAAATTCATATGGGTACAGTGTTGCATGACCGCACAATTGCCATTCAAAGTGTGATAGTGTTGAAAAGTGGCCTGAACAGGAAGGGGGTAAAAGTGTCCGGACTTGAAGTGGTTAAAATCTGCTAGCAACTTCTTCAAAGCGTCACTCAGAACTTTTATCTGAGATGGAAGATCTGCGTTTAACAATCCCAAAATGGAGCTAAAGGTCAGTAATGAAGCTGCCTAAGATATGCTGAAAGCTTTACAACTGCTTTCTAAATTTTGCTGTACACACTGCTCTTATACAAGCTGAAGCCAGTGTGTACAAGGTCTCAGTAAAGTAAACCTGTTTTCTGTAAGAATTCAATCTTGTGCAGAATTTTCCATTTTTTTTTTCATTTTCTCAATCATAATTGGATGTTTGGAGTAGAAAATAGGTTCACTTTTAGCAGGAGTGAAAATTGCACCTTTAATAGGTTGTCTTGTTTGTCATTTAATATTTGTTTTGCAGGTTATGGTAGAGAACTCCGACTTTACTCCTTCCCAGGTGGGCTGTCTCTTCACATTTCTTGCCCGGCAGCTCGCTAAACCAGATAATACTCTGTTTGTCAACCGAATGCTGTTTGACCAGGTAAGCAGACAACTACAGTGTACAATGACAGTGTATGGGTATAGTAGACTGTGGACAGTGGAGAAGCATGCAGGTGCAGTCACTAAAAAAACGTGCTTGTGTAGTGGTGGCTAGTGGAGAAATGTGTGGGTACATTGAGGTGTGTGGATGCAATGGTGGTCATTGAGTAAGTGTATGTGTGTTTGTGTCATTGTTTACCTGCAATTGCAGAGACAAAGGGTCTCCAAGAATTGACATCTGCATCAAAGCTGGAATTATGCAATTACTGTCAAGTAGATACAAATACACATGTCACGTAGATACAAATACACGGACATACTGCCTATGCATACATGCTATGTTGACGTTTTTCCATGAGTGTAGTGGTAGTCCTTGAGGTGTGTGGGTGCAATGATGGTCAGTAAAGTGGTGTATGTATGTCTCAGTGTTTACTTACCTGCAAGTCTAGCAGTATTAGGTCCCCTGGAAATGATTTGGTGTTGAACTATGGAGGCAGCATCAGGTATATCAGTGCGCCTTGATGCTGTCTATGCATACATGTACGGTTGGCATTTTTACATCAAAAAACATTATTTGCGTCCAAAGTTTCATTGATCATATGGCAATGGACAGTGCGGTTGATGAAAAAAAATGTATCCACACGTGTCTGTATTGTATACTTGTGTTTTTTGGATGGTATAGGTAGCCAAGAGTCACAATATACATTAACATAAGAGATGATCATCAGAAATTATGAACAACCTTCAGCACTCACACAGAAGATTGAAGTAATTATTATATGAAGTTAATTATACCAGAATGTGAACAAATTTAAATAAAATTAAATAAGAGGGAGTAAAAGAAATAAAAGGAATAAAACCAGTCCATGGATGGATGGATGGGGGCAGGATTTCGGGCTGCATACGAGAGTCACAATATACACTGCCATATTGCAGTAGTCTGGTCTGCAAGAGGAATGGCAGATCAAACTCTTGCTCTCACTTACTTGATCTTTGTTTTAAAATATACTGTATTTTTCGCTCCATAAGACACACCTGACCATAAGATGCACCTAGAGACCAAGAGACTGCGGACAGTGCAGGGGATGACCAGAGACTGCGGACAGTACAGGGGATGACCAGAGACTGCGGACAGTGCAGGGGATGACCAAGAGACTGCGGACAGTGCAGGGGATGACCAAGAGACTGCGGACAGTGCAGGGGATGACCAAGAGCCTGCGGACAGTGCAGGGGATGACCAAGAGCCTGCGGACAGTGCAGGGGATGACCAAGAGCCTGCGGACAGTGCAGGGGATGACCAAGAGCCTGCGGACAGTGCAGGGGATGACCAAGAGCCTGGGGACAGTGCAGGGGATGACCAGAGACTGCGGACAGTGCAGTGGATGACCAGAGACTGCTGACCTTTAGAGAGGGAGGGGGAGTGGGTACCTGAATTTGACGGAGTTGTCCTCCATTTAGTGTGGGCACCCGGCTGACAGCCGGGTGCCCAGTGCACATGCGCGAGAAGCGCTGCGCTTTGTGATTGGTCCAGTGTCTTCTGGGACCTGTCATGTGTCCCAGAAGAAGCATACCATTCACAAAGCGCAGCGCTTCTCGTGCATGCGCACTGGGCACCCGGCTGTCACAGCCGAGAGCCCACACTAAAGAAGCCGGCGCGGGAAGACTGTGCAGCGCTGGACCGAGGAACAGGTAAGGTCCTTCTGCAGAAAAGAGCTGAGCGGCCGGCCCAGTATTCTGACACGGCGGCGGTGGTGGGAATACCGGACCGGCTGCTCCATATTCGCTCCATAAGATGCACTGACATTTTCCCCCCTTTTTGGGGGGGGGGGGGAAAGTGCATCTTATGGAGCAAAAAATACGGTAGATGATTTGTCCACTGTCACTTAGGTGGGAAGTGATGGTAAATCTCCCTAATGAAAGTGCATACAGCCATAAAAAGGTTCTAACATTTCCACACTCTATTCTGTATGAAAACAGCCTGAAAACACAGTGAAAGATTGGAAATTAAACATTGAATTTTGCATCTTGTGGATACCTGACTTTCAAATCAAAAGGAGCTTGTTAGACATCTAAACCATATTATTGAGTTGGCCTACCCTTTGCAGTTCTAACCACTTCCACTATTTTGGGAAGGTTTTTCACAAGATTTTGTAGTATGTCTATGGGAATTTATGCCCTTTTTACCAAAAGAGTATTTGTGAGGTCAGGTAAAGGTGTTGGATGAGACCTAGCTAACCTTTGTTGTTCCAGTTTATCCCAGAGGTGTTTAGTATGGTCGTCTTCTCGTGCAAAGCAGCTGTTTTTTTCAAGGTAGTTGGATCAAAATTCCAAACAGTCATGCTGGAAAAAAAAACTCCCCTCAAACTCTTGCCACAAGATTGGAATCAAAGAATTGTCTAAAATATTCTTGTATTGTGTAGATTTAACAGCACCCTTGACTGGAAACACCTAAACTCAATAATTTGAAGAGGTGTCCAAATTTTTTTGCATAATAGTATATTTATAAGCTGATAGTGGAATAGTAAGCAGTGGTAGGCCAAGAGAACTGGTTGAGACAGATTATTTGCTTGTCTGAATACCTGAGTTTAAAAGTTGTGTTTTAAAAGTTTGCGTTTTGAGAAAAAAAGTGGATTTAAAGGCTAAGCTCACCTTTTCCAGAAAGCTTTTAGACTGTTTATTCATTTTATTGTCCTACCTATAGGCTTTTTGGGCCCCGTGGAAGCCTGGCAAAAAAACCTTACAGTTAGCAGCCACACATCCTGCCTTGTTGCTAAGGCGTAAATAAGTGGTTTTCACTCCTGTTACACTGGGAGTGAGCATCTTCAGAAAGAGAAATAGTAAATAATTGCATTCCAGCTCAGACTTTCCACTTTGTCTACCACTGTTTCATAGGACTTGAAGATCGATGTAGTAATAAAACCTTGTTACTTATCCCTGTTTGGGTGCCACGAATGGAATCATAGTCCTTTGTAATACACTAGGTTTCCTTTATGCATTTTCTAGTAAATGAAAATTTTATTACTAGTGTTCAGATTTCTATTATCACCAGGCAGCTTTGTCGACCTGTTAAGATAACTAGAAGGTCCTCAGGAGGTGGTAGCATAGTAGACCTCTTAGACTTTTCTCGGTAAATGTTGAATCGGCAGAAGAAAATAAATATGTATTTTTTGGGGTTCATGAGTAGATGGATTATACCCATTTGAAAAAAATGCATGCACTTAAAATGCTAATGTCATTAATTTTTTGTAGTTTCTTATGGTATTAATCCCTTTTTTGTGTAGGTCCTAGAATTTCTGTGCAGTCCAGATGATGATTCCAGACATTCAGAAAGACAGCAGGTACTTACTTCCAGTATTAAAAACAGATTATGGACACGGATGGAAAATAGACCAGTCTTCATCTAGAACTGATATCTTCATTTTTGTATTTGTGTCAGGTGGCAGGAACACCCACCACCTTCTATTTTTCATAAACCCCAATGGTCTGTGCCCGCTCCCACAATGAAATGTAATCAGTCACTTTATTGATATCAAGCTCTTGTAGCTGGATTCCCCAGTTACCTTTTTTGTTTAGTTTTTTTTTATTTTTCTTTATCTTACATCACGGGACAAAGAGCAGGCTTTTTCTGACTATGTGGGTTATATGCCAACAATTGGTGAATGGACACTGGCCAACCAATCTACTCTATAACCCCTCCTACACAAGAATTACTTGTTTTTTTTTGCCAGTGTCTGTAAGGTGGATGGTCACTGAAAATGTTACCTATGGTCTAGTACTGTTCCTTTGGGAATCATGGTTTTAAGTGGGATCCATTCAAAAAGCTATTAGTCAAAATGGATAGTACCCGAGCCTCACTAAATAAGGAGAAGAATCTTCAGGGGTTTTGCCTGTTATGTAGCCTTTTGGCACTGGACCCTGCATAAATAGTACTCTGTGCAGTTAGAATCTGACCAAGGCGCTTTCCAGCAGGGTGCTATAAGGGTCCGAGGCAGTGGCCCCACATAATGGGAACCAAGTCCATGAAGGTCTACTTGACAGGGCCATCGTGATGGGTGAAGTTTGGACTCCTGTTGTAATATTGAGTCCTGCCACGGGAATGGTAAGTTGCTTCCTCTTTTTCTATTTATAAAGAAAGATGAAAAATGGAGAGAAAAAGAGGTATTGTTTTGCCTTGCTGTTGGTGAAAGTTGCCACTATGGGGAGTGCTTAATTCTTCCTGAGCCTGTCTGGTTATTTGTGGTGCCTCAAGGGGGAGCAACCTGGTTTGTAAGACGGCCGCAGGGTGCGCGTGCTTGTTCAGTGGGGGCACACGTGCATGCACGATAATATCCGGAAGCGGAAGTCTGCCATATTTATTTATGTATCCAGTGGGCACGTGAGTACTTCCCTGGGGGCAACAATGTGCCACTTCAGACAAGAGGCTGCCTCTGACGGTCCATGGAAGTCAGCAGTTGCAGTGAGTGTATGAGGTCACACTACCCAGCATAGCTGTGTCCTGGATTCTTTGTATTTTTTTGTCTATCTGTATTGCATTCAGATTGAGCACTGTAGGAAGTGCTGTCTTCCAGAAAGCGGGCAGGGGGAGGCACGTCAGGAAAAGGCACATGTGCACCACCTTGAGGAACCTAGTCGCAGTTCTGCTCTGTTAACCTCTCCTGGCAGGCCAAGAGCCTCTGGGCAATCTGAGCCACTATGTTTGTCTGGCATTGTGGCTACTACTGGTGCATCTGCTTCGGCGTATGTAACCAAAGAGGATCTTGCTTCAGCCTTAGCAGGTTTAGTGGATAAGATCACAGGAATTATTGCATCTGTTTCTCAGGTGAATAAAAAACTGGAGACATCTCGTTCCTTGGATCCATCCTTGACCAGGAGTGGATGGAACCAGATGAGAGGGCGTTAGAAGACCTGGAAGAGGATGAGGCAATAGAGTCACTGTCTGAAGGGTTGCAGCCTGAGGAGAAGCAGGCAGTTTCTGCTTCTCAGTCTAAAAGGTTTTTCGTTCAGGACCTTACTGATATAGTCCATTCAGGATTCAGATTACCTTCCATAGAGTCCTCTGCGGTTACGTATTCTTCTCTGGGCTCTTTAAGGCCTCAGCAGAGTACTCGGGCTTTTCAGTGCATCCTGTGTTGGAACAAATTATGTATGCTGATTGGGATCACCTGAACAGGATTTTTGTCCTATATCCTATGGAGGAGAAGTTTGCCGAGAAATGGGGCATTCCTGTTGTAGATGCAGCTGTTTCATCCCTAAATAGGTCATTAGCATGTCCGGTGGATAGTGTCCAGGTTTTCAAGGATCCAGCACATAAGAAGCTCCCTGGCAGGTTCAGCCATACAGCCAGCGTTAGCAGCTATTGGTATTTGCCAGTGTCTTTCTTATTGTGTCAAACGGTTGGAGGATGTTCCTCATGCTTTATGTTTTGCGGTTAATTTTCTTAAGGATTTAATTCAGCAAACATCTCATATGGCCCTCTTGTCAGTTCACATGCGCAGGGTTTTGTTGCTGAAAAGTTGGTCAGCAGAACTGCTATGCAAGAAGTTGTTGGCAGGTTTTCTCTTTCATGGGGAGTGACTGTTTGGGGAGGATTTGGATAAATATATCCAAAAAATTTCAGGGGGAAAGAGTTCTCTTTTGCCTTTTAAAAGGAAATCCAGTAACCCGTCTTAAAGGGATCAGGGGTTTTGGCTGCTGGACCCTCATCTACCAGACAGTCGTTTTGTCGCACGCAAGCCCCAGCTTCTAGGAGTAGGATGCATGGTCAGAACCCAAGGAGACCCTGGCCTCAAAAATCAGCCAAGGCAGATCCTAAGTCTGTCTCTATGAAGGAGCTCTAATTCAGGAAAGGTAGGTGATTTCTATAATTTCTCTGAGAAACAGAGTTTCCGGTCTTCCCTCCTCCCCTGTTTCTACAATCAAATGTACCAACGAATCCTGAAAAAAAAGAGGGCTGTTACAGGCACTCAATCACCTGTTGTCTCAAGGGGTGATCACGGAAGTTCCAGTGGACAAGAGGTTTCAAGGGTTTTTTTCAAACCTGTTCTGTCACAAAGCCAAATGGGGATGTGAGGCACATTTTGGACTTGAAGGCTCTAAATCGGTTTATAAATGTCCAGTCCTTTCTTATGGAATCCGTCTGGTCAGTAACAGCCGGAGAGGAGATTGCTTAGCATCCATAGACATCAAGAACGTATACCTGCATGTGCCAATATTCATCCCTCATCAAAAATGTGTGCGCTTTGCAGTAAGGGTTTGGAATTTCCAGTTCATATCTCTGCCGTTTGGGCTGGCCACGGCTCTTCAAGTATTCATGAAGGTTCTTGCTCCGGTGTTGGGGCTGCTCAGAACTCGAGGGGTATCAGTCTAGATGATCTGTTACGGAGAGGTCGAGCAGTGCTAAGTCTGAAGCCGGATGTTGCCCTTACAGTGCAGATGCTGGAACAACTGGGCTGGGTGCTCAACTTCGAAAAGTCGGCCCTGGAGCCAGTACAGAGCCTGGAATATTTAGGAATGATCCTAGACACGGTTCATACAAACGTATGTCTGCCTTCAGGGAAATGTTGCGCCCTGAGAGACCAGTTCTGCAGTTTATGGGCCAAGAGGTATCCTTCAATTCACCTCTGTATGAAATTGCTGAGGAAGATGATGTCCTCATTCGAGGCAATACCCTATGCGCAACTCTACTCCAGACTACTGCAAAGGAACATTCTGATTGTTTGGAACATGATGGTTCCAGCCCTGGATTTCCATATGTCTCTGTCTCTGTCTCCTGAGGTACTGTGGAGCCTGAATTGATGGTTGGTGTCTTAGAATTTGGAGAAAGGGAGATTCTTTCGGCCGGTGGTGTAGAAGGTGGTAACCACCGAGGCCAGCCTCTCAGGTTAGGGGGCTGTCCTGAAGGAGTCCATGGTTTAGGGAACATGGCTTCCAAGAGAAAGGGTTCTACTAATCAATATCCTGGAACTTCGGGCAGTGAGTTTAGCCCTGGGGTATTGGACATCCAGGCTTCAGGCCTGGCCAGTAAGGATTCAGTCCGACAATGCCACAGCAGTTGCATACATCAACCACCAGGGTGGTACCCGGAGTTGAAGGGCTCAGGAATTACATTCTGACCTGGGCAGAAAGATATGTTCCAAGTTTGTCAGCGGTGTTCATTGTGGGGGGTAGAGAAATATCAGCCACTGAGCCTTTGCCTCCTGAGGTTTTCACAGCAATCTTCCAGCGATGGGGTTGCCCAGATGTAGATCTGTTGGCATCTAGGTTCAACAACAAGGTTGACCTTTTTGTATCCTGGATGAGGAACCCTCGCGTAGCAGGGTTAGGTGCCTCAGTGTTTCCTTGGAGCCAGTTTTCTCTAATCTATGCTTTTCCTCTGGTTCAGCTGCTGCCACGTATCCTACACAGGATTTGGGAGGAATCTATTCTAGTGATACTGATTTCCCCGGTACGTGGACATAGTGAGACTGGCAGTAGATGGGCCTTGGTCCCTGCCATACAGGCCAGACGTGCTGTCTCAAGGTCCTGTATTGCACCCAGCTTTACAGTCGCTAAATTTGACGGCATGGCTATCGAAACCCAGATCCTTAAGGATAGCGTAGTATTAGGGTAGTATCGGATTCTGTCATCTCCATTATGTTGGGCACTAGAAAGGTAGTTTCTATGAACATTTATTACAGACCTGGTTACATTGCCTGGTGTTAGGTCTGGAGATGACATCCATGTAAATATGTGATTTGGCAAGATCCTGTCGTTTCTTCAGTCATGTCTGGAAAATAAATTGGCCGTTGGTACTATTAAAGGCCAGGTTTCAGCGTTGGCTATTCTTTTTCTAGAGGCCCATTGTGTCTCACTCTCTAGTTAATACTTTTTTGCAAGGAGTAATGCGTTTAGGTCTGCCTGTTAGGCTACCTTAATGTTTTTGGGACCCGATCTTGGACTTGGAGGTTTTGCAGAAACCACAGTTTGAGCCTATTAGGGAGATTCCGCTAGTCCTGTTGACCCAGAATTTTGTTTCTAGTGGCAATCACTTCGTCGGAGCTGGCAGCTCCTTCTTGTAAAGAACCTTTTATGTTTTTTCATCAGGATAAGGTGGTGTTGCGACTGTCTTTTTTTACCAAACGTGATTTCTAGTTTTCATCTCAATCACGACATTTTTCTGCTTTTATTTTTTCCTGGGCCTCAGTCGGCAAAGGAGAGATCCTTGCCTACCTTGGATGTGGTACACGCTATAAGGGTCTTCCTGATGTTTACATCTCAGGTCAGGAAGTCAGAAACTCTTTTTGTGTTGCCTGATGGGACTAAGAAGGGGGCAGGTGGCATCTAAGGCAACTGTTTTGCATTGGATACGCTAGTTGGTCATTCAAGCCTTCGATTTAAAGGGTAAGGTCCCACCCTTTTGATTGACAGCAAACCAGGAGTGTGGGGACATCTTGGACAATCCGCCATCAGGCCTCAGTTGCTCAGATTTACAAGGCCGCTACATGGGCTTCGGTTCACACGTTCATAAGTTGGATGTAAGGATATCTGCCTTTGGCCACAGCCTCTTGTGAATGACTGAGTAGATTTTGTGGGATTGTTGGCGGTGGGTGGCTATCGTGGTGTCACCCTCCCCTCAAAATTTCTTTATTGCTTTGGCACATCCAACATAGTCATGAATGGCCTACTTTTGTGTCCAGTGACATACCCCAAGAAATGGATTTTACAGGTAAGTATGCAAAAAAAAAATCCAATTATTCTACTTTGTAGGTAATCCATCAGGGAAACATGTCATGATCATTTATCTTTTTAGTAGCCTTAGTTGTTATAGTAGTATAAGATCGTCATGGGAAAAAGCCCTTCTCTACAAACCACCATCTGTCAGCATTGATATAATGTTCCAAAAGTTACTTTGAACTTCTTAATCTTTTTCACAGCCTGTCAGAACTGCTTGGTTCATCATGTATACGTCATATGTTATGCCATGTCAGTGAGGGACTACATATCCCATGTTTAATAGCATGGTAAGCACAAGCATGCCTCATTATTTCTGCTGGCCCCCTCTACATCAGGTTTAAGCAGCAGAGGACCAACAATATAATACAGAAGCTGCTGTTAATCACATCAGTAAGCAGTAGAAATAGGGGAGGAGTCAATATCAATGTAAGCCATCACTGCTGGGTTAACGTGTCAGTGCACAGAGCATGACCACGCATGCATGTAGTCCCGAAGCATGCGTGACAGTGCTGGGTCAGCAAAGAAATTTGTGCACTCCTATGATGTCACCCTATAGATGGAAGTGCGTACCTTGATAAAAGGAAAGAAACTCTGCGTGGGAAGGAATTGCTGTGCATACAAAGAAACTGGGAGTGATAAACGGGGTATGTTGCCATTTGAACTGAGCTAGCCAATATAATTTAAAGCTGAACACCACCCTTACATTCAGTCTAGAGCAGTTGTACATGCTATATTGAAAATGCTTAGTATGATTTTATTGCGCACTGTGAATGTCTCACAGTGTGCATTACAGACCACAGCAAGTTAGATTCTTCCTCATTTAAATGTATTTCTTTTTTTTTTCTATTAGTTGAACTAGATGGACTTGTCATCTGTAAAGATGAATTTCAGTTCTTTCAGTCATGGAGTCTCAACATCGCATGAGGGTGGTCTGCATGAGAATACAGACTACCTAGTAATGCCAACTCCTCCAGATTGACACCTTGCTATAAAGGCAGTTTTATTTTGCAAAAGTCCTCCTACTGCTTGTTTTAGAGCTAAGAACTCTTGAGAGGAGTACTAGGACAGGGTTCTGTGATGTTTTCAGGAAGCTATGTACTGCATGTCATTAGCATATTGGTAGGGGGCTGGAGGAACCAAGGTAGGCAAAATATAAGTAGATTAAACTTCAGCTTTAACTTCTCACTAACCATGCAAAACAGAAATATCAGTTGTGTTTGTAGATTAAAGTTTCAGTACAAAGTTGGAGCTAATCACATGCCTCCTTGATGGTATGGCATGATGGATAAAGACATGATGGAGTTGGAGATTTGGTCAGGATCAATGGTGTCCTCAGTGCTGAGAAATGCAGGCAGATACATATCCATTATGCCATACCATCAGGGAGGTGTGTGATTGGCTCCAACTTTATTCTAAGACAGGACAATGACCCCAAACATACAGCCAATGGCATTAAGAATTATCTTCAGCTTAAAGTTAGGAGTCCTGGAAGTGATAGTTTGGCCCCCACAGATCTCTGATCTCAACATCATCGAGCCTGTCTGGGAATACATGAAGAGACAGAAGGATTTGAGGCAGCTTACATCCACAGAAGATCTGTGGTTAGTTCTCGAAGATGTTTGGAACAACCTACCTGCAAAGTTCCTTCAAAAACTGTGTGCGAGTGTACCTAGAAGAAATTATGCTATTTTGAAGGCAAAGGGTAGTCACACCAAATTTTGATTTGGTTTATCTTCTGTTCATTCACTTTTCATTTTGTTAATTGACAAAAAATAAACTGTGAACACTTCTATTTCTGAAAGCATCCTTAATTTACAGCATTTTTTCACACCTGCCTAAGACATTTACACAGCACTGTATATAATATGTGCTCTGGTTTTAGCTTGCCGGACTGTATTGTGGCTTGCAGTGATGCTCTAGTTTTGTTGGTTTTTCTTTCAGGTTCTGCTTGAGCTACTTCATGCTGGAGGAGTAGTTCAGTTTGAGGAGAACAGACTGATCCAGCTAGCAGAACGAGCTCAGTTGTAAGACTATTCTCCCATTTACTTATACAAATATTCTTGGTATGCTATTATTCCTTATATATTTAGGTCACATGCCTTTATTGAGATTGTTTTCTCCCCAGTTAGCACACTTCAGATTTGTAAACTTGCCATGTTAGGTTATGCACATTTATATAACCCCATTTTGCATTGCAGTTGTTCTTCTTGATGCTCTACAAGCACACTGTAATGACACCAGGAAAGGTTGGATGTATTGACTAGGTAGAACATACATATATATAAGAAAAACATATGTTAAATGATTTAATCTCTGTTTGCACTATTTCCCCCATTGCATTAAAGGTTTCCTACTCATGCAGAAAGTGTGATTTTCCCTCTAGGCAGGTGCAGCACTCTTGTATATCAAACACCTTTCACTACAATGTAACCTGGTTATATATACAGTAAATATAGGTAAATACAAGCTTGGGCACTTTTTAATGGACACTTGTGCTTGGAGGATTGCTTTCTTCAGAAACCTAAAAGCGAAGCATTAACACAAAACAACTCTGTAGTATTTCTGGCACAGCTCCTTACAAATTGGAATGCTCTAATGGTCACAGAGGAAAGAAAATACAACATGCCACATTCATTATTGATTACTGCTCTGTTCCTGTTCTCTAAACAACCAACCAGTGTAGCACATATGAAAAGCCAATATGTGCATATGTACAAGATCTAAGATGTATTCCATGGTTCAGTTACTGTTAAGCCATTCAGAACCAATTAATAATGTTTACATTGAAACCTACATTTAGGATGCATGCACAGATGTAGCAATATGATCTAACATTTACATAGTGGCTAAATGGTTAGCACTTCTGCCTGGCAGTACTTGGGTCGTTGGTTCGAATCCTAACCATGGCACCACCTGCCTGGAGTTTGCATGTTCTCCATGTGCCTGCATGGGTTCCTCCCACACTCCAAAAGACATGCTGGTAGGTTAATTGGATCCTGTCTAAATTGGCCCTATTATGTGTGTGTATGAATGTAAGTTAGGGACCTTAGATTGTACGCCCCTTGAGAGTTAGGGGACTGATGTGAATGTATAATATATAATACAAAAAATGGCCACTGCCCCAGTCTATAACTGGCCTTCACAGCAAAGAACACACATGGACGGACGACGCATGTTAAACAAAAGAGAAAAGTTCCCAGTTCAACTTGCCAGCCAGCTTGCAAACAACCTGAATTAACCTGTGTAACAGTATGTGTTAAAAAAAAGGGGTTTAGTTAGCACACATTTGCAAATACATACATAAGCTACAGAGCCACGTCACGGCACCCCGATATTCTGTAGTCCTAACTCTACAAATTTTGAGAGCCCCCATAGTAGAGGCACATGTATTTAATGGAAAGACCAAGGGTAGGTGAACCTGAGGGAGCCCACCCCTCCTTAAAGGTACAGGAGTGCACCGGACATCCAGCATGTAGCACAATGACAGCTAGGGTGTCCAGTGCGCCCCCTTACCAACAATTCAGCAGTACAAAAAATGGCCACTGCCTCAGTCTATAACTGGCATTCACAGAAGGGAACACATATATAATATAATATATGTAAAGTGCTGCATAAATTGATGGCATTATACAAGTACCTGTAATTATAATAATAAAAGAAACATAATAGAGTAATCAATAATTGGTTCCCAGTTTGGTTTTAAATGGCCAAAATGTGTCCATGACAACTTTTCCTCAAAAATACATTTATTTTTGTCTTTATGTTTTAATAACAGGTAAAGACCAGATCAAACCATTTAACAATGTATTTTATTCTTCTATGTGCAGCTATCAGATCTGTGAGTTTATGTACGAGAGAAAGCACCTATATGACAAAATTATAGACTGCTATTTACAAGACCCAATGAGAAAGGTATAGCATACATTCTTTTCCTGACTGTTGGATAGTTTTTGACTAATAGGCATTTTCCACACTCATTTACAAGGTTTTCCAGTAAATTCTGATGAATCTGATCACTCCATGTAGAAACACAGAAAAAGATCCATACCTGCTCCGGTCCCCTTGAGCCAAATAGGATATCCGTCCTGATGTATTTCTTACACACTAAAATCAACCTGTTAAGATATTATGGTGCTCCAAGAACATCAGTATATCCTAGTGCCGGATTACCAAATAGGCAGTTTAGGCACTGGCTTATGGGACCAATGCTGTTTATGGGCCCCAGGACAACAGATCAAAATAATATTGGTTTTATCTTGAAAGAAAATTACAATGAAGCTTTCTTAAATTGTTTCCAAAAGATAGGAAAAATAAATTGACTCAAAGAAACCAAAACTTTACATTAAAGACTCTGTAGATAAAATACTGTAGTAATGCAATATACCCAATAACAGCTTAAAGTACATAAACCATAGACATCAGTTTATCAGTTTCACATGAAAGTTTGTCTGTTAAAAGCTCATCTTCTTTCAGCTGTCAGTTTTGTAAAAATGTATGGTGCAACCTATGTATGTGTAATGTACAGTAGTAATGTTATCTTCATCTAGCGGACCAACAGGAACACTACTTGGTTCAATGTTATCCCACTAGAGCACATGCACCAGAAACCTGCTGGGGGGGGGGGGGGGCTCCAAGGTTATAGACTGCCTAGGGGCCTCCATAGAGTTTAATTCGGCACTGCATAGTAAAAACTTAATTTCAGGTTTTGCTGCAGACAGAATTCAATATTCTGCCTTGCATGTCTTGTGGGAACAAGCAATATGTAATGATATCTGTGATATTTTTTTTTTTTTTATTGTAAATTCCTGTCTGCACTGGTTTGCATTTGTTTCTGTAATGCATTATTTATTATTCTGGTCAGACTATGGATCTGTTAGACCTCCCTTTGGACCTTGGAATATACAGATGCTAGCTTTGAATTGCTAACCGTAATCGAATGTTTTCCTTTAAGATCAAGTCCTTCAAATCTCTACCATTGATTGCGTTACAGATATTTCCCAGCACTTAAGGGCATATTTATAAAGGCTTTCAAACAATATTCAAACAGCTTTCTTCCATGTTTCTAATTGGATTATATTTTCGAAACATGCAAGAATCCTTGGAGAAAATTATGTGAAAACCTTTATAAATAGATCTTGTTCATACAGTACATGCCACAGCCCTTGCTGGTGTGCTGAAACGTGAGATGGATCACTTTTTGGAGGGTTTTGACATGCAGTGAGGATGTTGCTTTCCCACCACCTGATTTAACTCTGAAAATGCTACCTCACCATGCTGCAACTGCAGGCATTGTCAGCAGTTGCAAGGCGGTTGCCGCATGGCTACATTGAACTAAATTGATCACAGCATGCAGCAGTGCCATTTAATTTTTGCATGGACCTCAAAGTATTGCAACCACAGTATATGTAGAGGTCAGAGCAGCTGCAACTACTAGTTCAGGTGGGCATTTGGGGGGAGAGGTAGACTAAGAGTGAGATTCCTGCTTTTATCGCCTCTTGGCTGCACATCTAAACAAGCCCTCAGCTTTGCTTATTAGCAAGGGACCTAATTTAAAATCTGTTTCCAGAATATAAATCAAACAAACCTCTTTTTGTGCCTGTGTTAGCAGATACACGTGAAAACCACACACTGCTATGAAGATGGCTCTGCATGTTTGGAGGAACTTCAGTCTGTGAGAGTATAGATAATAAAGTAGAACTAAAGGCAAAACTTAGTTTTTTCCTTTTGAATAGGGCAATTAAGAGTTATAACCTCTCTGTGTTTTTTTTTTTTTTTGCCATCTGTGTCACATAGGGGAGATTTCTCTTCCCTGCTTGTCCCATAGCCAAAACAAGAAGAGAAAATTCCTCCAATGTGAGGGAATCCTAGGGTGTCTCCAGGATCACCAGAACAAGTGACTCCATTGGAAGATCTCCTCTATATTACTGTTCTGATGCCAGCCCAAAAATTAGGGATTTTTTTTTTTTACTTTCACTTTTGATGATAAGAGAAAATGGACAAATAGAGAGTGTCAATCTCCCTAAGGGGAACACGAACAGCAATAAATACTGATACTGGTTTTCTAATCCCTCTCTACTCTATCCAAAACTAAAAAAAAAAAGTTTTGCCTTTAGTTACACTTTAATGTATACAGTATATATACCCAATCGCCAAAATCTCATATAATCCTTAAAGGGTTAATATAGTTGAAAAAATAATTTTCAATATTTGAGGTCTGCAGCTTTAACCTAGTTAGTACCTAGCAGTTCCACAATGAAGGTTATTGTTCAAGTGCTTCCCATTACTGGATGACAACAATCTATCCTGGTTTACCAATTTTTTCCTGCGTTGTCTCCTGTCGCAGTGGCTGTTTCAGCACATATTACACAAAAATTAGAAAATTGGGATAAGAAAAAAAGGTGAAACAAGTATTTTATTAGAACATGGAAGTTGTGTAATATACCCGATACTCTACCAAACTAGATGTTATTCAGTTATTGCTTACATCTAGTTAAAACATGTACAGAAAATACTAGAGTCAATATTTTTTTTTACTATGTCATCAGTGTTGGCAGTCTTATAGATCTCAGTAGGACGTCACTTGAAGTGGTATTTTGATAGTTGTCTCTGTTTTCCTCATGTGTATACACGTTTGCAACTGAGATCTCTGTTTATAGTTTAAAACATGGCCTTAAAGTAGGTTTCTTTCATAGCTTGGGAAACTGAGTGCTGAGAACATTTTTGCGGCTTATAAATTGATCAGCTGTATGACACCTTTTTTTTATCAGCTATAGAGATTTCATGGTTTTCCCCATAGAAGAGCTAACCTTTCCTTCTTCGTGCCCAATTTTAAAAATTATATTCTAAAAGTTAAAGCTGCGATGTCAACATTTCTTTGGTGATTATAATTAAAGTGGTATTAAACCCAAAACCATAAATGTAATATATTGCAATTTACCTATCCTTAGATGTTGTTGCTGCATTCGTTTTCTTTTTGTACGCTTTTTTCCCCTCTGCTTTTCCCTGATGATCAGGCCAGTAACACACCTTCTGTATCAGCATGTCCAAGGTTTTTTTCCTCAGAGAATAGGGGCAAAAACTCGCCCCCCCCCCCTCTCCTAGGTCACGCCTGTTACCGCCCCCTATCCATCCCTAGAAACGCCTCCTACGACTGCCCCTTGTCTGCACCCCTACACATCTAGCACTGCCCCCTTTGGAGAACCAGGAACCAAGTATAATTTGGGGGGCTATGCAAGTAATTTGTATGGAATTTGTTAATAAACCGCAAAGTAGTAAAATGTACAAAACATTAGAAACATCCAGCACTTAACAGAGTAAGCTCAGAGGCACTTCTAGCCCATATTCAGCAAGAGGCCGTCCCCATATCCAGCCAGAGGCCGTCCCCATATCCAGAGGCCGTCCCCATATCCAGCAAGAGGCCGTCCCCATATCCAGCAGCCAGAGGCCGTCCCCATATCCAGCCAGAGGCCGTCCCCATATCCAGCCAGAGGCCGTCCCCATATCCAGCCAGAGGCCGTCCCCATATCCAGCCAGAGGCCGTCCCCATATCCAGCCAGAGGCCGTCCCCATATCCAGCCAGAGGCCGTCCCCATATCCAGCCAGAGGCCGTCCCCATATCCAGCCAGAGGCCGTCCCCATATCCAGCCAGAGGCCGTCCCCTTATCCAGCCAGAGGCCGTCCCCTTATCCAGCCAGAGGCCGTCCCCTTATCCAGCCAGAGGCCGTCCCCTTATCCAGCCAGAGGCCGTCCCCTTATCCAGCCAGAGGCCGTCCCCTTATCCAGCCAGAGGCCGTCCCCATATCCAGCCAGAGGCCGTCCCCATATCCAGCCAGAGACAGCCAGCATATCCAGCCAGAGACAGCCAGCATATCCAGCCAGAGACAGCCCCCATATCCAGCCAGAGACAGCCCCCATATCCAGCAAGAGACATCTCCAATATCCAACAAGAGATAGTCCAATATCCAGCAAGAGACATCCGCATTGTCTACCAAGAGACAGCCCCAATATCCAGCAAGAGACAGCCCCAATATCCAGGCAGCAGAAGTAACAGCCAGGCAGCCCCTATATCCATCCATCAGCAACACTGACAATTAATAACAAAAGCAATGTACTTGGTCTTAGCCAGGACAGGATAGGACACTGCACGGCAGCTCTTCCTCACAGTTGCCACTACCACCAAGAAAGGAACATCCGATCTGCTACAAGGAGAGGCAGAGTGCAGCAGATATCACTTCGCCTTCCTTTATCTTAAAGCTGCAGCTGGAACTTCAGGAGCTGTGTTAGGTTATGGGGCCGCCAGCTCACTCCAGGGACCGGCTGCAGTATTAAACATATTGTAAAAGAAAAAAGTTCTGCTCCTTGGCGGAGGTGCCAGAACACCGTTGCGGCAGAACAAAAGCCCTGAGCATGCACCAATTTTGATGAAGAAGCTCAGCAGAAAGGAGCATTGTTAATCTGGGGGGGAGGGGAATGTGAGATGGACTAACAGATTTAGGTACACTAACAAATTTACACAAAACTCCAGATCACACTGCAGATACACAAGCAGTTACAGTAACAGTATTTTTCCTTTTGTGCTTAAGGTTTTACATAAATAAAAGCTGTTTATTGTAAGCACCCCTGTCAGTGTTAAAGGGTTTGTCTCAAAACTCTTAACTGATAAATTTGCATGACAGCTTGTTCTGCTGAAAAACAACGGACTTACTGACCAGATCATCAGGTGAAAATAAAAAAAAAAAGAAACCTTAAAAAAGAAAATGATGCAGCCATCACACCTAAGAATTGGTATACTGCAATATAATAAATGTTTGTTTTTTGGTTTAACACCGCTTTAGGACTAGACATTTTTTCAGTCTTATATCAAATACTCTAAGTTACCTTGTTATTTCCCAGTCTGCTGAGTGAAACTGATTTCATGATAATTTAAAACATTTCTACCATTAAAACTATTTATTTTTCATTTTCAACAAGAAAGGCTTTATTATTATTATGACACAGCCTGGCCTGGAAACCTATGGCCATGATGTTCCTTGAAAATCTCGTTGAAATTGGAAAACCTCTTTAAGTATATATTTGTTAACATTTTTGTGTATGCCACCCAACTACTTCATTTTGTATATTACCATGTTCTTTTGTTTTGGTTTTCTTTTTTTGCTATAGCAAGAAATCTTTAATTATATTCACAACATTCTTTCAATCCCGGGCTACAGTCCTGAGGAAAAACAAGCAACATGGGACAAAGCTATGAAACATATGGAGGTATGATATAAAAATTTCAGTCTGTTGCTGTGGGGACGGCTGTAAAGCTAATCTAAATTAACATGTGTAACTAGATCATGTGAATTTGATTTGATTGATTTTGAAGTAGAATGAAATGCAAAGCTTGAAGTGGAAGCTCAGGATCAATCTAACTGAGCCACAAACTTACCCCTCCCCTCTTCCTTTCTAAATCCTATTCTAAATACCCTGTGAAAGGACGCTGCTTATACTTGGCTATTCTGACAGCGCTTTGGTCCAGTCATGTGATTGGCTCCCAGTACCTGGTTTCGGGGGGGGGGGGACACAGTGGACAACAGATGTCCCATAATAAGCCTATGGGTGACCTCACCGAGCAGACATTGCAGCTGTTGCAGAGATCTCTCGCCTGCCCTGAAGCCGGCAGCTGGGGAGGGAAATAAAATGGCGAATAAAAGAAACCGCATATATACATTTTCTAGACAAGCCATATTGTAACTCAATGTAATTAAAAATTGTCTTTCCCTGGTTGGGAGGCCATTGGCAATCTTTATGAAATTCAATGTAAGTTTGACCCTCCAATTCCCCTGTGGAAAGTGATGCAACTGACACACTTTATCACTCATACCTGGGGCAAGGTGAGATCCCTTTCCACTCCTACAGATTTTGAGAAGCTTTGCCTTTCCGAGGACATTGTACAACACGACCTTTTCCCAGGCATATTGTACAATGTTGAGCTGTGACGGAAGATCGATGGGACTCTGAATCACCTACTGGGGATCTTATAGCCCATCTCTTAAGTTTTGCAGGAGATTGAGGCCTTGTGTGTCATTTGAATAAGGTGATCTCATTGCTGGTCTGTAGAAGTAGTATGTAAGTTCTTCTCCCACTTGTGGGGGTAGGGAGATTGGGATCCATCCTCCCAATCTCCTACCTCCGCAAGTGGGAGAAGGACTTGCATACCACTAATACAGATCAGCAATGAGATCACCTTAGTCAAATGACGCACAAGGCCTCAATCTCCTGCAAAACTTAAGAGATGGGCTATAAGATCCTCAGTAGGTGGTTCAGAGTCCCATCTACCTTCCCTCAGAGCTCTTTATTGTGTTGGCAATATTTGAAAGAGTAAGGCACCATGCTTAATATCTTCTGGTTTAGCTCTGGTTCACTATTGGGTTCTTAAATTAACAGATGTCCAGATGCCAATGAAAGCGGCAGCCTTTTTTACATTTAACACCTATGTCTCTGAAGCTTTACAAATGCTCCTTTATTGCTTATTATTAAATGCAGCAAAGGCTTGCATCTCATTGTATTGAAAGCAGACCACAGCACCATCCATCCACTTGTGGTTTGCCAAGGTCAATGAGATGCATCGAATGGAATCATTGTTGACCTCAGCTAACAATAGGAAGAATGTTGTAACAAAACATGGTTTTCCTGGATGGAGTTCACGTGTACCCCCAAGTATAGAGACCTTTTGGGCTCCCAAGCTTAAGGCATACTCTTTTTCCATCTACCCCCTTGGGTATCTGAGACTAGATCTTCCCATGCGGTCATCTGGATAGCGCACAGTTCCTTATTCATAACTTTGCCTTTCCTTTTCTTTCTTCCCTGTTTTCCTTTCATCCCCCCATTTTTTTTTTAAGGGGTGGTGTTGTTTTTATTTATGGCTGTTGCGCCTTACTGGACAAACCTGCTTATATTTTTGTATGTCCAGGATTGTTCCCCTTTAGGTTAGCAAGTCTTTGGGCCGAGCACCGCAGGAGACAAACTTGTCGGTCTCAGTATGTCTTTCCGTGTGCATTACAGTACCTTGAAAAAGTATTCACACCCCTTGAAATTGTCCACATTTTGTCATATTACAACCAAAAACATAAATGTATTTTATTGGGATTTTATGTGATAGACCAACACAAAGTGGCACATAAATGTGAAGTGGAAAAAAAATGATAAATGGTTTTCAAATTTTTTTGCATATATCTGAAAAGTGTGGCGTGCATTTGTATTCAGCCCCCCTGAGGTAATACTTTGTAGAACCCCTTTCACTGCAATTACAGCTGCAAGCCTTTTTGGGGATGTCTCTACCAGCTTTGCACATCTAGAGAGTGAAAGTTTTGCCACATTTTCTTTACAACATAGCTCAAACTCTGTCAGATTGGATGGAGAGCATCTGTGAACAGCAATTTTCAAGTCTTGCCACAGATTCTCAATTGGATTTAGGTCTGGACTGGGCCATTCTAACACATGAATATGCTTTGATCTAAACCATTCTATTGTCGCTCTGGCTGTATGTTTAGGGTCATTGTCCTTCTGGAAGTTGAAACCTCTCCCCGGTCTCATGTCTTTTTTGCAGACTCTAACAGATTTTCTTCTAAGATTGTCCTGTATATGACTCCATCCATCTTCCCATCAACTCTGACCAGCTTCCCTGTCCCTGCTGAAGTAAATCATCCCACAACATGATGCTGCCACCACCATGTTTCATGGTGGGGGATGGTGTGTTCAGCGTGATGTGCAGTGTTAGTTTTCTGCCACACATAGTGTTTTGCTTTGAATCCAAACATTTAAATTTTGGTCTCATCTGACCAGAGCACCTTTTTCCATATGTTTGCTGTGTCCCCCACATGGCTTCTCGCAAACTGCAAACCTGACTTCTTATGGCTTTCTTTTAACAATGGCTTTCTTCTTGCCACGTTACTATAAAGGCCATATTTGTGGAGTGCATGACTAATGGCTGTCCTGTGAACAGATTCTCCCACCTGCGCTGTAGATCTCTGCAGCTCCTTCAGCGTTACCATGGGCCTCTTGGCTTCTTCTTTTATTAAGGCTCTCCTTGCTTTGCCTGCCAGTTTAGGTGGATGGCCATATCTTGATAGGTTTGCAGTTGTACCATATTCTTTCCATTTTCGGATGGTGGCTTGAACAGTGCTCTGTGAGATGGTCAAAGCTTTGGATATTTTTTTATAATCCAACCCTGCTTTAAACTTCTCCACAACTTTATCCCTGAGCTGTCTGGTGATGTTTACTAATGTTCTCTAACAAATCTGAGTGTCTCACAGAACAGCTGTATTTATACTGAGCTTAATAAACATATGGACTCTATTTGCTAATTAGGTGATGACTTCTGAAGGCAATTAGTTCCACTAGATTTTAGTTAGGGGTATCAGAGTAAAGGGGGCTGAATACAAATTCACACCACGCTTTTCAAATATTTGTTTGTAAAAAATGTTGAAAACCATTTGATAATGTTTTCCTTCCACTTCACATTTATATGCCACTTTGTATTGATCTATCACATAAAATCCCAATAAAATACAATTACGTTTTTGGTTGTAACATGACAAAATGTGGAAAATTTCAAGGGGCATGAATACTTTTTCAAGGCACTTTATAGATGTGTTCTTGGTTGTTTTAAATAAAGTTTACTACTGTGAAGGGGCAGAGAACACTGATGCAAGAATAGGATTGTGACATTGGAGGAGAGGGGGCTGTGATGTCATGGACCTGAGTCATTGGACAAACATGCAATTCAAACCTCTGCTGGAAGAAAGTTTTACTGATTGGGTCTCCATGAATTTTAATTCATTACCCCTGACATGAAGTAGAAGAACAAGCAGTTACTTCAGAGGAGAAACAGGTCGGACTCTGCAACAATTTTTGTTAAAATCACTGCACTGCACATTGATCATCCACAGAGGACTGTTTTTTTATCAACAAATTACTCATTAAAGACCAATCTAATATTCTCAGATCATAGGCTTTTTTGTTTATACTGACACATACATACTGCATTGAATATATGGACACTAGTTAAATCTGAACTTCTGGCAAAGTGCTAAATGTTCAGGTATAATACATATATGTAAGCTGTTTTTACTATCGAAGTACTGTATATGTCAATCTATGTAGCCAATCGTGATCTTTCTAAAGAACATAAAGAGGTCTTCAGCCTTTACTGCAGTAGCGATGTTTGGCCAAGAACACCCAATAACTCATTACCACTCTGCTCTCTTCCCCTGTGCACTTGTTACCTGTTAGCACATGCACATTGTAGTTCTAAATGTTCTGCTCCCCCCTCCCTTTCCCAGTCTGCAATACAGGGGATTCATGTAGTTTGATACTGTATCAAATCTAATTAGTTACTCACATTACCCTTGGATTTAAAAATACATTTAGTGATTTCTGATTAATACTCTTTGGTTGGTGTTTTTTAATATTTGCCTAAAATTCAGTTTCTCTGCAAGCTCCCCACTCTTCTGCATGGTAAATTGTATCTCAAGCCATTTTGGTTTTCGTTGGGAGAATGTAGGGAAGGGTTTGACTCTGTCCATTGTTTTTGCCGTTTGAAATGTGGCTTGTTTCCACAGAGCAGTGTTTGTTTTTCTTCTTGTTTTTTTTCTTCCATACTTCTGTTGCCTAGGTATATAGGCTGTAGATGGCTTTTCTTGTTTTATTAGACATTCATTTGTATTTTCTTGTGCATAAATTCTCATGTTTTTACTTTCTTTGGCTCTAGGAGCTGGTGGCACTAAGTCCAAGTAAAGCGGCTGACCTAGTATGCACTCACTTTAGTGAGCAGCTGAATGAGGTCCTTGAAAAGCTCCAGGTAATGCACTCCTTAACAAAAGTGTTTGATTTCCACTATCACTTAAGCTACATTTATATTTTTATTTAAAATTTCTTTCTTACTGCTAGAATCATTTTGATGTTAAAGTATACAATCTAATTGCACTGCTTAGAATTCTTAATTATATACAGTAGAAGCAATTTATAATATTTTGCAGCTACAAATAAAGTAATGAGATTACATATCAAGTGAGCTCATTATTGTATGAGTTTAAAGTACATGTACAGCTGATTGAATTGCTGCATAGAGCCTTGACCTCAACCCTGTTGAAAGCCTTTGGGATTAAATAGAACACCAACTGCAACCTAAGCCAAACATGAGTACCGGACCTCACAAATACTCCTTTTGCTGAATCCCCTCATACACACTCTAAAACCTTGTGGAAATATGACCACAAAGGAGAGGGGAGGGGGTTAACTCTATATATTGGTACCATTGGCTTTGGATTGGGATGTCCAACAAACTCATACATAGGTGTGATAGTCATGTTTTCTCTAGACTTATGTCTATATAGTGTTTTCTTATGGTAGTGTATAGACATATGGGGGTAGATTTACTAAAACTGGAGAGTACAAAATCTGGTTCAGCTTTGCATAGAAACCAATCAGCTTCCAGGTTTTTTTGACAGTGCTTAATTGAAAAAGCTGAAATTAGAACCTGATCGGCTACCATGCACAGCTGTACCAGATTTTGCACTCTCCAGTTTTAGTGAATCAACCCCAAGGAGTGAGCACTAAAGTAGTGCTCTACAAAATTGTCAAAAAACACAGTTAAAATACATTTATGTTCACTGATTTACTTACCAAGGAATTTGTAACTATTTGGAAAACATCAGGATTTACACATCTCTTGCCACATTGCACAGGCTGATCCTGGCTTGGCATGCATCTACTTATGTCTGCTCTCCACCTCCAGCTTCCTCTCTGGAAAATTAATCAACATTGTCACTTCTGTATATTCGGCATCAAGCAGCAGATCTAAAACAGGAAGAGTGATTTGGACATTTAACTATTCCTCCAAACAAAGCACTGAAGAGGGCAGAGAAGGGGAATCACAAAGTGTATCTGAATTCTTTCCTATATTATATCATGGACAAGCACTAATGCTGTGTGCAGGAAAAATTTAGACAACATAATATATAAATGTATTCAGTAATAGAGCTGAGATCCATAACGAAATAACTGTAGGCTTGGAGCCAGGAGTTCTCATTTTGTAGAGTAAAAGCAGTCGGCATTGTATGGGTAACACTAACAGAAGAATATACTGTACCTAAGGATGTATTTACCAGACAGTCACTGGCCATTAAAATGCTTGCAAACTGTCTTGTTTTTGTCTAGGGTGGTCCACATTGAATGAAAACCACTCAGAATATGTTAGACTGGATTCATTTGACTATAAATATGTCCCAGTGTAATATTAATCAAAACCCAGGGCTTTCTGAGATTTTACTGGCTTTTTTTCAACTGTGTGAATATGCACTTTTGTGTACCATGAGAATAGTGAATAGGACTAAACTGAAACCAGCATTTTTCTGCTGTTTGATGAGAGAAGAAAGCAGGGACATGTATTTGCCATCCTGTGCTTCCTGTCTATAGTCATACACCTCTAACCATTTCAATCGAATCATCTCTGCTGGCAGACACTTAATGAGTTCATTAGCACAATCTTAACAAAGCCAGGTTTCCTTCACCATGACCTTCAGTGCAGAATCCTTCAAATGACTTGTCTCTGTAACTTGCCATCTGGTGGTCGGTCATCTGTTCCAGCCAGAGATTGGTTCATTGTTAGCATTTCCAGTGTTTGCCTTTCATAAAGAAATACATCTTCTTGTTTAGATGTGATGCTAGTTCCTTTATATGTAAAACAGAAACCCATATACAATAGGTAGCACTTTAACACAGATCATTTGGTTTATGAAACAAACTAGGTCTCATTAGAAAGCACCTTTTGTTTCTAAAGCAGAACTACAGCCAAACAGCTAAATACACTGTAGAATTCATATACTGTATATTTACTGGTTAAGGATTTATATAATGCAGTATTAAAGTGTTACTAAACCTACAACAGTAAAATCGGTCTATATCTGCAGTAAGGCATGCTTGTTATACTCACTGTGGAACCTAAGGGGTTAATCTTCTGCATTGTGTAAAAATGCTGTTTGAGCCTGACTTCTCTGATCCTCCTCTTCCAGTGCTCCCCTCTTATCTCCTGATAAGACATATCATGTGGAGACACTCTGCACATGCTCAATTTGGTGTGTATTGCTAGAGAGGTTTTTTTTTTCTTGGAAGAGTGCATGTGATCAGCACAGGGCCAATCAGCACTGTCCAGACAGAGGTCAGGGGATCTGCATCCTCCTAGAGAAAACACCTCCTGCAAGCTTTAACCAGTGCTCTGCTGAACACTGATAGAAGTCACAAGACTGCTCTAACTGCTGATGAGAAAAGGAATTTAGCAGTTTATATTTACCAAAATAATTGCATGTTCTGTGTACTGTTGGAGACCAGATATAGTGAATGCAAGGTCCTGTGTTTAGTAGCACTTTAAGCAAGCCTTGTTATTTACACACTGCAGTCAGACAGGTAACACATTTTCCTAATTAAGTAGGGAAATTTCTCCCTTTCCTCCCCCACCTATACTCACCTTGTCAGGATTTCCTTGCCTCTCCTTCCTACGTTGCAGCTCACATTGCTACCTGGTATTTCCAGATATGGAGGACCATGTGACTTCCTCCTTTGTGATGGTGCTTGGGCCTAGCAGCCAATTACTAGGCCTGAGTAGTGTCATATGGTCAAGCATGTGAAATCAGTGCTGTTGATGGTCACTAATGCTTGTGATTTAAATACAGCCTGCAATGGAGGAAGGTGTGCAGGGGGCAGGCTCCTTTGCAGAGGCTCTTTCACTTTGCCCTACATGGGCAAGGTGACAGTGTTCCCTTTAGCAATTTGTCTTCGTATGTCATTGCTCTGACTCCTGTCTCTGCATCTTTACCTTTGTTCAGTAAGTGGGGAGCTGACCTAGGGACAACAGCTCATTTTTGTATTCTCTAGGTTTCAGGAATTGTGCCCTTTGCTTATGATATAAAGCAGTGGTCTCCAAACTGCAGCCTGGAAGCCAGATGTGGCTCTTTTCTTGCCTTTATCTGGCCCTTGGGACAATATTCCACCAACTGACACCAACTCCCACTGACACCATTGCGGGCATTATTCTTATCATTGATACCAACAATGGGCCTTCTTCCTCCCATTAAAACCAATGATGGGGCACTGTTTATTCCCGCTGATGTCAGGGCATTTTCTATTCCAACTGGCCACAGTCTGGCACCACCAAATCCTGAAAGACAGGAAACTTGCCCTTTGCATAGTAATTGTGGAGACATGTGATCTTAAGTTTCAAGGTGGCTTGTCTGCCTTGCTAGAACGCCTGGAACTTATGTTCAACAACTGCAGCCAAAAGTTGTCTAAGCCTTTGATAATGTAATCACTTTCTGTTCTTTCCTTGCTCATTTTTTTTATATACGTTTATATTTATTTACAGCAAAATAATTGAGATTATAATATATAATTGTTAAATTAGCTTTATACCTATTTTATTCACTGCAATCTAACACTTAGTCTATTAGATCATCCAAGTGCTATGCAGATTTCTTTTTTATAAACATATTTTGTACTCTATAACTCTTTTTATTGGCTGTATTTAGCTGCTCAGCCCCATTCAGCAGTGTAGTCTGTGTATCATGTGGGGATCATGTGGTGTTACTGACACCAGTCTGTAAGCTATATTTTGGTGTACTTTTTATTGAAATATACCCACATGAATGTGAGATGACAGATGAACACCAGCAGGCATTAACAGTCTATTCAGTTACATATCTGTGTTTGGTAAGCACTGAGTCTGAAACACAAACTGAAGCAGTAAAAAAAAAAGAAGACAAACCTGTGAATAATATTATTCTAAAATATGTGAATATGTGTGTGAAAATCTGCTTTCTTGGAAATTATAGACAGATAGTCACATTTTGTAGAAATGGAATTACCATGGTTAATTTTGTTTTCTTTTTAGCAAAGAAAAAAATTTAAATCAGGTACCAAATTGTCATTAGTGACCTTTTCTGATGCAAATTCTAATTATTTGGCTGTTATATTGATTTGGTGGCCCAGTACTAGGATTCCTTCCACCCCTCCCCCAATTCTTCCAACTTCCTGGTCCTTTTTTTTTAAATAAATCAGTATACATACCTTTACTATTGTCTTCTGGCTGGTCATATGGCATAAAAGGTTCTCTTACATTTGTCTGCATCAGTGGGCTGTCCTGAATGTTGCAGAGAACAGTACTCCTCTACTGAGATGACAGTCATTCTCCGCATCATTTTCTGCGTCTAGTCCGGCATGATGACGCTTGTTCATGCTGGCTAGGGTTTACAGGGATTGGGTTTCATTCAGCCCAGTGAGACTGCAGGCAACAGTACTCGAAATGATGAAGTATTGCAGAGAAAAGTACATTGGTTATACTTTAAAAAACCTCTAAGGTACTTCATTTCTAATTATTTTTTTAAATTGGATTTTAGTTTTAACACAGATCTGCAAAATGTTTACAGATCAAGGGTGTTGTGTATGGTCCGTGGAAGTCTGTGGCTGAGAGCACAGTGAAGCCAAAGACAGCCAAGAAAGTTGTTCTTAAACTGATATCAGCAGTGGCAGCACCCATGCTTCCCAAGGATTGGTCTATCTAGGATTAAAATTTCAGTTCTGTATAAGTGCAAAGGGGATAATTCATCCAGTAATTCCTATATCAAGTGAGTCTCACTCTTTCTGGGTTATGCATATTGTCACTTATGTAGACTATTCATCACTAAGAGTGAGAGTGGCAGCAGCAGCTTCCTAAAGTGGAGTTTAGTTGCAAAGACCTCACAGGGTCTTCATTATGCTAAAGTGACTTGGTATTTACATTTTCCTGTATGCACCTAAAATTTAGATTTTGGTTGGACTTACTCTTTAACTGTGCAACTGAACATACATTAGATAAG